TATATATATAGGCCTATAAGAAGAAAGTATTATTTAATCATCTTATGATAGCCAAATTATACACAATTAAAGACGATTTTTCTTAAGGTTTCAGTACTAGTATTTCAGACTCAGGGACCCGTGTGTAGGCCTACAATTGACGCAATAACCAGGCTGCACAAAAGGAGCTTATCCTGAACTCTGAAGCTTCAAGCCCGCGGATTTCGGTCCGGAGTCCGGAGAAAAAATCGTGAAAAATGGAGTTCAGTGATAAAGAATAGAACCGTTCACATCAAATTCGTACAATTTCTAATCCGGACTCCGGATTTGGACCGATGGATCTGAGAGCCATTTGTATCCTGAAATCGTACGTTTTTTTTTTCTTGGACCAATCAGCAACAAGCTTGGTTGGTTCGAATCAATCGAACGCATAGACCTACGTACTGAAACCGAATAACCGTGTTCCGTGCGCGATGTGAACGCAGCGTACAAAAAACGTAGCAACTCACGGGCTCCGGACCGGATCCGGGGTTGATGGGAACGTAGCTTTAGGGGCACATCTGCGAACTGCATGGAATTTCAACTTAAATTAGATTAGAACAAACAGAATCCAATGGTATACATCAATATATAAATATACACAATAAAAACTAGCAACAGAAGCAATAAAACAGGCATCAAAATATACAATAGGCCTTCACTGAATCAATTATAGCAAAATATAAATACTAAACAGTACCAGTATTTAATAACTCGAATGCACAAAAATAAAATATTGCATTTTTCTATAACTATTTTGCAATGTATTTGATTGTCCAGAATCGTAAAATATATAAAAATTAATTTTTAGGTATTGTTATTTGAAGAATAAAACTTTGTCTAACAGTCAAATTTCATCAAAAAACGTCACATAAAATGTGATGGAACAAGAGTTGAACACGTTTAACTTTTTTGATACAATTTAATAATATGTGATGTGAAGTCATCGTACCCATATATGGGCACATCACATTTTTTTTTGTCACATAAAATTTGATAGTGTAGACAAAGCTTAACGGAAGTGATCGTGTCTCAATACACAAATAAAGACAACAAAAATGAATACAATAGATATGGACATCTATTAATTAGTATTATCAATATGATTACAAAAAAATACAAAAAGCAGAAATAATTAAAGTAAAACATCAATATATAACAGTCATAAAAATTGACAGTCTATGAAGGAATTAATACATCAACTGCTAATTATACACGGAACAATAGTAGGTACTTTAAGTATGTTCTCGACCCACGTGAATAGCTTAGTAGAGATCAATTAGTTATTGTTGTCATGTCATGCTAATGTGGAGCTCTTTTTGATCTTTTTGCTTTTAAGTGTGACTAACTTGCTGTATTTTGAGATATGCCTCATTGCACAGTCGTTTACTATTTCAAATCGATTTTAAACTCATACAATTAACGTGCGCAATATCGGTTTACTACTCATTGCCTTCGTTGACTTGTTTGGGTGACAGGCAATCCCGGTTTCAAACGAGCAGGTAAGTTGTATCTTTTTCACTTTGGTTTGTGTTTTTGTTTTATTTTTAATGATAATTTAACATTATGTTTAGAAGTGTGGAATATAATTCATATTCTCATATTGCAACAGCTATGTGACATTTAACCTTTATTGCTTAGCTTTAAGCCTATAATTGTACATAGGTAAGGCCTATTCATTGTGGCGATCTTAATATTGAGCGAAAGAAGATGCACATAATGCGGGGCCAAAACCAATATGAAAGTATATACATACGACCAATGTATATTTCTTTTAGGTAGCGTCCACAATAATTATAATAAGATATGGTCCGCCGATGACCATAACCACCAATCCACACCACCCTCCTCCACACACACAATGCATATAATTGTAATTATATAACACAATCTGTTGAGTGATGAAGAGATGTTCTCGGGCAACCTACTGCATGGAAATGCATCTAACTGAAATTGGAAGATGTGAGTAGTGAATTATGTTAGGATGGTTTCGGTATGCTAAGAGAGATGGTGATTTACGAACTTCTGAATTAGATGAAGTGCAGTAAGAGAGAATACGGAAATCGTGTATGATGGTTTTGGCGAGGTGTTTGATTCTGGGTTGTAGTTGAGGACCAAGGCTATGGGTATACATATTGAATTCGATTTAGCGTTTTAATCCAGAAATTGTCGGGGTGATTTAGACAAGGCCTTCATAAAAAACGCTTTGATGAATTTCATGGGAAAGTTGCTAAGTCTTAATTTGTAGACACGTGTGTTAATGTGTTCATCAAATTCTGTAGTGGATGAGCAGATTCTTTATATTCTAAGCGCTTAAATGTAAACCAGGGAGATGTTACATCTCCCTGTGTAAACTATGGATTTCTTGAGTTTTATTGGATGAGAGGTATTGAAGTCGAGGTATCTGTGATTGTCTGTAAAATTGTTGTAAACAAGTGACGTAACTTAATTATCCTTTAAGCTACCAACACATTTAAATTGGGATATCTGAGTAGAAGTTTGGTGAACTTAATGCCGTGGTGAGAGGTATTGATGTGGGAGATAAATGAGTGGGTCGTGTGGCCATAAAGAAGATATTATCAATATATCGGCTATAAAATAGAGGTTGGAGAGGATGTGTATATGGTTTTATTTTCAAGGTGGCCCATGAATATGTTAGCGTATGAGGGGGCCATTTTAGTTCCCATATCTGCGCCCTTGATTGGTCCTTCATTATGGGGGATGTTAGTGTAAAGGTCAATAACATCAATAGTAACCATTGAAGTTTGCGGAAAAAGTGAGTGTCTTGTATATGTATGTGAGGTGTCTTGTATATTACTTATGTTAGGAAAAAGAGAGTTAAGAATGTTGTCAATGAAACAAGAAATGTGCTCGCGGTGAATGTCAAAAATAACCTGAAGGTGGCGATCAGAACGAAATGAAGAGATAGGACGACGAAATTGCGAGTGAAGTCATAGGCCTTAAGTTTATGAAGGCGAGCCGGCCGCCCTGTGACAGGTTATATCAAATGCTTTGGATATTTCCCTTTCTTGGTAACTGGTACAAACGACGCAATTTTCCAGCAAGCTGGAAATTTTTAAACCTACCAGCAATGGTTAAACAGCTTGGGAAGTGTTGGGGAAAGCTCAGGACCACCATGTTTTAAAACAACAGTTGGGATGTCATCTGGGGCAGTGGCTTTGCTGGAATTAATGTTATGAATTATGGTATTAATAGTGATATATTTAGGAATAATTACAGGCTTGGAAACAACACAATCAGTTCTCAAAGGAAATCATGTTCCTCTTTCTTGATAGTTGAATTTGCTGCAAAGCGTTCAGGAAGATTTGCTTTGTCTTTTCCGTTTTCAGGACTTTAAATAGAGGTGGTAAAGATAATGTTCCAGGATTCATTAAATTATTGACAATGCACCAAACGCCCTTGGATCTGAGGCGTTGGTTAATTATTGATTGTCGAACAGACGCACTCAAATTTTCCTTGGCTTCAGTAAGAACTTTCTGGAATTTATTTCTAGCATTCCGGAAAGGTTGTCTGTTCTGCGGTGTATTGCAACGATGAAAACGTTTAAAGTGATAACTACGATGATAAATTACAGCAGCAACACTGGTGAGAACCATGGCCTGAGAATGCCATTTGACTTGAAATGTTTTAGAAGGTATGAATAATTTCATACTGATGTTAAGCCAATGAGTAAGTTCAGCACAGAGTTGTGCCTTCAAAGTTTAGTTTTGGCTTTCCTGTTTACTCTCATATATATTATATTAAAATGAAGTTAGCTATATATACATTTATGATATATATATATATATATATAATTATATATATATATTATATTATATATATATATATATAATTATATATATATATATTATATATGATATAGATCAAAAGGCAAAATACTGACAAAACAAAAATGCTATGGGAAGCAATGGCTGAATCTCGGTATAGATAAAAAAAAATTGATAAGCAAAAGCTAAAGAATAAAAATAAGTAAACAGCCAGAAATAGATCCAGAGCTTTCGGACAACATTAGTTTTTCCTCAGTGGCAAGGGAGGGCGAGGGAGTGAGGGTAGAAAAAGCCAGATAATATAAAGTGAGAAGTCATGCAATTATTTTATTCGTCAGCCCTTCCGCGCTCCACCAGATACTCCACTGTATATCGTTTACCTATTGTATGATTGTGTATTGTTTGTTTAGACGTGCTGTACCACCCTTCAGTTGTGTGTGCCACTGATTATTTTACATAGCAAAATAGGGAAACGAGCAGATATTACAGCATTTAAGGCTTCATCAATTTCTGAAGCTCACTTCAGATCAGTGTAACTATTGAAATATTATTACATATTACGCTTCCGGAAAATATGGCGTTTTCGCAAACTTACGAAAACGATAACGAATACAGTTACGTCATCAAATTTTGAGACAACCCTTCTCTTACAGTAGCATATCTGTCACAACGTAGGCGATGTGTGTCTTAATGCATGAATGAGAGATCATGTTCAGCTCGTACAGCATATTGTCAAGAATGTTTTAGGCACGAATGACGATATTGATAATGACGTATTCGTATTCGTTATCGTTTTCATAAGGTTGCGAAATCTCCCCAATAAAACGTCTATTATCCTATTATGGTGTAAATTGAGTATTCAGAATTCCTCACACTATATGATAGTGAGTTTAGTTATTTAAATGTTTATCGTCCGGAAAGTACTGCATACAACAATGGATAACGTAAGAGTTTCCAAAATAAGAATTTCTATTTTTAGTTCAAAAAATCACACTCGGGAGAGGTACTAAATTTATAGTTTTTATGCCAAGTCACCAGTTCAGTGGCGGCGCTACAGGGTGGGGGGAGGGTGATAGGTAGTGCTACATCCCCCTCCCGTCGGGGAGGCCTCCCCCCGTCGGGGAGAGAAACTACACGTCGGGGAGAAAAAACAAATTAAAAAAAATTTATATATATTTTGTACATGTTATTAGAATTTAAAATCGATTAAATACGCATTTGAAACCCCTCCCTAAATTGTCATATTTTTGGAAAGGCTACATCCCCTGGACTACTGTCCAAAAGGTTTTTGGCGACGCCAGACCACGCTCACTTTTTTCTCGTGGGAGACATCAGCCCCCCCCCCCCGTCGGGGACCTTGGACCCACGTCGGGGAAATCATAGCGCCGCCACTGCACAAGTTGTTACGTGTACATTTAATGAGGTAACAACAGATGGCAGTGAGTAAAATATAAGATATGTTTCATATACACACCACCTAAAAGGTTTTTTAAATTTTTGATTTTTCCCCCTTTTTTTTTTACATAAATCCGTTGTTGACGAGGAGGCACAAGACGTGTGTTTAATCCAGTATGGTGAAGATGGTTAGCCTTTTCTTTTTTGTAAGTTTTTTTGTCTTCTATTTTGATTTATTTAATTACTTTTGGCGAAGATGTTGTGTGAAGTATCAATATTATAAAATTCAGTGAAGTAGCAGATATAGGTCTACGGAAGTGGTGATTACATTTTAGAGTGAAATGTTGAGGTCATGGTCATAGAAATAAAAAAATATACTTACCCCTCATTAAGTTTGATATTAATGCCATTATTCTTATTAATACTATTTTACATAACTGAACCAACATAAATCAATCTATTTTAAATATGTTTGATTTTCGTGTTTCCTTCTTTTTTTTTCTTTGCCATAGGGGTCAAAATGAAAGTTCTATTTCGTTTCTATTTTGTTTCCTATAATAATACTTTTTATGCGTTTCCATTTTGTGTGTTTTTTTTTTTTATAATTATGTGTACTTTTTTCTGTCTTTTACTTTTTTTTTTGTTCATTTATTGCCTATTTTAAATAAATGTTAGGCTATGCAGTAGTTTAAACTTTAATTATTTATAAATTTGCAGATTATTTTGACAATACCAATGCGTATAACTGCCGTGAATGGTAAGTTTACATGCATTTTGTAAATTACATTTCTGTAATAACATGTTCAGTCAATCATATACGCATATTTTTTATGAATAACATGGTAGCTTTTTTAATACGAACTAAAATGACCGGCAGCAACTTTAAGACTAAGAAAATATATTAAGCACATGCTTTCGTTTCGTCAGGTGGCTGTGTGAACTTCTTCAGTCATCTGAACAAATCCTAAAGAAGTTCACTGCGTGAAAGAACATTCATGCTCATAAAATTATATTATATTAGCCTTAAAAGTGATCGACAGCGACAGCTCATTATTAATAATTAATATTCCGACTTAAACTTGCAACTTATATTTTCGACAGATTTTACCAAAAAATATGCGCAATTGCAATATATATATATATATAATATATATATAC